CAATCAAGGTCAGTAATTTCATACAAATTCATTTAGGTTTCTAGCTACAGTTCAATTTGACTATTTTCAATTTCTAAAAAATTAACAGAAGTTCAATCATGACCCAAAAATCCTGCAAAACTAACTGTTCCAACCTATGTGCACTCCCTAGATGGCATTTTCTTTTTAATCATTAAGGAAGAATAATATTAAATATATTTTAGCATTCATGATTTTGGCCGACTTCTTGCGTGCCACAAACTTTATTTCCTCTGATCTACCCCTCTCTCAGAAAGGAAGTTCTTCATTCTGACAGATGGTTACCACTTTAGATACTGATGCACTTGCCAGTTGAGGATTGTGACACATTATATGATTTAGAAACGAGTAATCACACTGAGTTGAGGATGAACATCACTTTATAAACTTACAATTTATATATATATATATTTCTGTTTGTCCATGAACAACTCTTATCATGGACAAAAACTTGGCAACAAGAGGCATAGATTCCAACACCAAACTATATTCTCTTTCAAATTCTTGATACATGTTCTTACTGAATGGAAAAGAATGAGGTCCTATCACCTGTAAACTTTTTCAACAATACAATCCAAGAAATTTATAACAAATCCAACCTCTTCAATCCATCAATCCAAACACTGTAGCAAACCATCCCTCGTTAACATCCAATTACTGAGTGTACCATTTTAACTCTCATCACCCTTAACCCAATTGTAAACAAATAATTGCACATAATTTGTTTACTAACCATGCTTGGGTACCCACTCTTGTACTTCCTAACCTGAAATGTTTCCTTGATACACAATATTTGATAGCTGCATGATGACATTACACAAAAGTTCCACTCTCACAAGAAGCATAAAGTTCTGAAACCAGATTGAATCCTTCTTCCTTCTTCCTTCTTCCCATGAAAGCATTTTCTGCAATACAATACAGAATTGTCCTACAACAAAACCAACCATGACATTACTTCCCGTCCACTGACCCGTAGGCATTGGTAGCAACGTAATCTCCTTCGTTAAATAAACATTAGTGAGTGTACCATTTTAGTTGTCCAACGGAAGGACACATTTTGCTCATACTCCATCATGCAAGCCAATTAAGAAAACAGACGAAACATGCATACAGCCATCCTGTAGAAAGTGGAATCGGTTCGTCCAAAATTGTATCGAGATCTTCATGCACCTTATCAAGCATTTACCATAAGATCGCAGATAACTTGTTTCCACCGGTCGTGAGACTAATCTGAAGCAAACCCTCGGCACTTTGAAGACCACAGAGGGGTTCGGTCTTCCCATCACTCCGCTTTACCGGGAGGTGGACTTACCGTATATACTTCAGGCAGAAGGGAAAACTAGAGGTGGGTGGGGGAGGGGAGGAAGTGGACTTACGAGGAGGCTGAAGCCGGTGACGCTTGCGAGGGAAGTGGCGATGGCGGCTCCGGCGAGTTCAACCTCGCCCAGGTGGCCCACCATCATGCTGGAGATCACCGGCACCAGGAACTGCGACAGAGTCACGGCCACCATGGGGGCGGCGAGGCAGCCCAGCCGCCGCGCCTCCTCCAAGAGTTCACTTCCTGCGTAGCCCCACACGAGTCTGCTCACCTCGCCCGTCTCTCCTTCTCCGCTCTCCCTCGTTAACAGCGTTTCCTCCTCCATCTCTCGGCGCGTGCGTGCGTGTGTGCGTGCGTGACCGCCGCTTTGTATGTCGACTGCTTGGCTGTCATACACAGTGAAAACTGCCGTCTCCGATTTCCGCGGGCCCAAATAGTAAGTAGACTCACATTTTGACTTGGAGACAAATAAAAAAACAAAAAATAGGTAATATTTTTTATTTATCTCTTCAAATTTAAGTTATATATATATATATATATATATATATATCTTATGTATATATGTCACTATAAAGTATGTCGATCCGTTGATTATTGGCATAGCGGCATTAATATCTTTTAAAAATATTACACATATATTTGCTTTTGAAATAATATTGTTGATAATTATCTTCCTAAATGTAAAATTCAAAACCAAGGATTCAAATTAATGATGAAAGTGACAACAGATTTTTAAAATTAAGTGATTTCAAATCCAATGAGGAGAGTATAATAAATAATTGGAGTCACAATAAAGATTGAGTGATTTTCTGAAAATAAAAATTCTTTTTGGGTTGTTTTCGATTATATCTTTCCCCGTTGTCACCTCTGTTGTCTCCATCCCGTCATAGTCTTTAAAAAGAAAGGAAGAGAGAACAGAAAAAAAGATAGACAGAGAAAGGAGAATTAGGAGAGAGGAGGTAAGCAAGAAGGGAATTGGTAGAAAAATGAAGGTTGGTGATGATGAAAGCAACGACAATCGACAACAAGGAAGAGTATGTTCAGAATTATATAAAGAAGAGAGAGTTGTTAGAAAAATATAAAAAGAGGAGAGTGTTGGCGTAAACAACTTCAAGCAGTGGTCTCAGGGCCGACGCGGCCTGGTTCGGGTCCGGATAGTGGGGGATCCCCCTGGGACGTTCCTCGAGATCGCTGAGGTGGCCGGTTGTGGTGTTCCGATCGAGATGAGATCGCTATTCCCTTCGGAAGAAGGACTCATCGCCTGCGCATTTAGTGGACGACTTCCGCCTTTGCACCTGCACAAAGGTCGGGTCGGGGAGCTCGACCTGACCCCTCCGATGATCAAATTAGTGGATAGTCACAGGGGGTTTCTTTAGCTAAGTTGGGTCTTCTTGTCTACCCCCCCTCTCCCTCCGGAGCGCGAGGGTTTTTATAGTGAGAATTATCATTGCCTGATGTGCTGGCCCGCAGGGAGTAGGACCGTACTTCTAGTAGCGTCTGACGTTGCCGTTGGCGTGGCGTGAGGGATCGATCCTGAACAGGGCGTTAATGTGCCTTGGCAGGCATTTCGGTCCGCGTTGACCAGGTATCTTGTCAGGTCAACAGAGACGTGAGGCGTCCTCTAGGATAACTGATGTCACGCGAGTCTTATCGCATTTATTACCTTTATCATATAGCACCTTACCAAAAATACCCAAAAAATAAAAGAAAAGGCTTACAGTAAACTAAATCTCATAAGATCATTACAGGTTGCCAAATGATAATAAAATGTAGAAGAGGTTTACTTTTCTATATGATTTCACAAGTACATTTTGTCAGCATCCTAAGGTAATATTATTTTATTTATTAATGTGTATAGACTTTATGGTGAATTTTTAGAAAAAAAACTTCTCTTTTTGAATTTACCCATTTGTAGAATTATCAAACATAATCATCTTTTTTTTTTTTGCTTAATACATAGATTATTGTTTTTTTTCTCTCTTTTTCTATAGACATGTCCATAAGGTGAACTATATGCTAGTTTCAATATTTGTACGCTGTGTTACAGTATTTTCAGTAATATATTAAACATAGTATAAAATTACTGTTACATAGTTTTTTTAAAATAAAATATTATGTTTATAATGCTTTTAGACTATGTTATAATATTTTCAACAATACTAGAAAAATACTATAACATAATATAAAAATAATATAACATAGCATTTTATTAGTATTATTGAAAAACTATAATATAATATAAAAAATATTATAATCGGATCGACTCATCGGATCAGTCCGTAATAATAAAAAAATAAAGGGAGAGATAAAAAAATGACTAGAAGTATTTCAGATAGTAAAAATATATATTATTTGAGAATTTTAAAAATAATATTTTTTTTAATAAAATATTATGTTTATAATGCTTTTAGACTATGTTATAATATTTTCAATAATACTAGAAAAATACTATAACATAATATAGAAATAATATAACATAGCATTTTACTAGTATTATTGAAAAAACTATAACATAATGTAAAAATATTATAATTGGGTCGACTCGGTTCAGTACATAATAAAAAAAAGATAAAAGGAGAGAGAAAAAATGACTAAAAATATTTCAGATAGTAAAAAATGTATTATTTAAGAATTTTAAAAATAAAGGATATTTTTCGCAAAAAAGCACAATGACTTTGTTTCCATGAATTTGAATCCTAATCACAGTAATTTTTAACCTATCGTGAACATTAATTAAGACAACCTTAGACTTATAAAGATGTGAACACGGCAATCGGTGTCAAACTTCATTTTTGAGAGGTCGACGAAAAAGAAAAGAATTGGGAAAGACTTCGTTCTCGTCCTAAACATGCTTCCCGGAGAATCCAGACACTCCAAAGAGAGAGAAAGAGAGACAAGACGGCAAACTTGTTTCCTCCGTTTGAGTCACCGTTCTTGTTGGCTGTTGTTGATGTGCGTCGGCAACGCTGTTCATGTCAGATGTGGGAATGAGCGGTCAAAGAAAGGAGACATGAATGACAACAAACAAGCCTCAGAAGATGATGTTTGTCCTTCCAAGATTTGCCTCCACTGTACCTACCACTCCCAGGAGAATAATCTATCTTCAAACATGCATTAAGACTCCCTTAATGCCTCTGAATAGCCTACGAAACATCTAACTCGGATGAGGATGACGGATTCTTAGAAGGTGAACTCGTCCTGCTTTGACCGAGCTCATCCACCTGGTGTTGCGTGAGAGACGGTCCTGATCGAATCTCACTCACTAAGTTCTTTGATGTGATCTCTTCTCGTTGTAATTTTCATCAATTTGGGAATTATTCACCTTGTGAAAGTTCCACGGGCGATATGGCACCCTGGTTTGTGGGACCCGCATGCATGCCCCACTCCCAGTGCCCGCGGGTGCTGACGTCGGCCTCTCAAGTTTTCCTGGGTGGTTCGGTACGTCGTGCTAACGGGTCCCACCGAAAAATCAGAGTCTGTGTTGACAAATCGTAACGCGGGTCGTGCTCACCGAGTCGAAACTCGGCTCGAGTCCGACGAGTTGCACCTTCTCGGCCCTTCGAGTCGAACTCGTCCTCTTTGGACGCGTGGAAACTCGGGTCGAGTCCGACGAGTTGCACCTTCCTCCCATTCTCTTTCGTATATTTAATCGGTTTTCTTGCAGTGAAAGCAAGCGAGGAAAGTCTAACGGACGATCGCCTTAGGTTCGCGACGCCGTCCCTCTTCTTCCTGCTTCTCCTCCATCCTGTGCCCATAGACTAGAAACCATTTGTGGGGTACGGATCGTGAGCCTATCGCGGCGATCCGAGGGGCACGAAGCAGAGGACCGACAACAGGAGGAGTAGGGGGAATCGAAAATGAGCGAGGCGGAAGAGGCTGTCCGGCGGCGGAACGCCTTGAGCGAGTACCGCAAGCAGTTGCTCAACTGCAAGGAGATCGAGTCCCGCACTCGCGCAGGTTGGTCCCGTGATACCGTTCTTGTTAGGGTTCGTGATTCCATGAAATTCTCTGATCATTTTTCCGGTGATTGATGGCGTTTTTGGGATTTGTTGGACGTGCAGTGAAGGATAAGTTGAAGGCTGCCAGAAAAGAGTTCACGAAGACGGAGGATGATTTGAAGTCCCTTCAGAGTGTGGGTCAAATTATTGGGGAGGTCCTTCGGCCACTTGATAACGAGCGCTGTAAGTTCATATTGGTTTTTGACTTCTATAACCTTTATTGTAATCTCTAGTACATTGTAGGTTCGAGTTAATTTTAGTAATGCATTATAAACATTTTCTAGGCTGATGCATGTTCACAAGGGACTTATCTTTCATGACCCAATTGCTTAGTTCAGGTAAAGTTCCTAGAGCTTATGCTTCGAGGATCTTATGATTTAGGGATTAGGATCTTTAAATAAAATTTGGAATGATATTGCTGTAAAGTATCTGTAAGGATGCTATCAGATTTTGACAAATAGGTGTATATATTTTGGGTAAAACAAATACCTTTGATCATCAGATCCAATTTGATTATTTTATTTTGTATTGATCAACTGTGATTGTGATCTGTTAAAATCTTTCCATGTTTTATATTAAATTACTTGATAATTAAGTATATGAAATATCATTAAAAAATTGATTATGTAGTTGAACTTTTAAGTGTAAAACAAAATAATATTTACTATCTTTGAAGCTTTAATTAGACTTTTTGTTTGAAATTTTATAATAATATTTTGATGAAATGAGGTATTTTCTCTTAAATCATCATTCAAAAAGAAATCCTGGCAATTGTTTATTGATCATGCTAGGTTGGGCATGGAAAATGTAGTCTTTGGGGGTCAGTTCTCTTAAAATAAAACATGCATACTACTTACAAGTCCTTTCCTTGATACCTCATTGTTCTCCCTTGATGTTTGAAATGAACATTGTGAAGCCTAAGTTGACTGTTTGTGAATTCCATCACTATACACATAATCAATCAATGTCATGTGATTGCCATGCTGGATATAGTGTATCTGGTATCAGATGCCCACTATTAATGTTAATTAGTTTGGATCTTGTGCATCTGGTGCAGGATGCCCACTTCAATAAAGAATCTTAATTAGTTCGGTATATAAGCATTCTGAAGGATAAAAATTGTGTTGTTCCCAAAGAAGTCTATTCTTTTGGATCTTATGATTTATAAATTCATTCACTGTTACAGGTCTAAGCATTCTTAAAACTGTTTATCAGATTATACATTTTTGTCGGATTTTGTGTTCCGACCAATGCAAACATATGATTCTGTTATATTTGAAAATGTTTGTCATATAGTGCGATTGTCCTTTGTTTGTGACGATCTTTATGTGTTGATTTCTTGCACAGTTGTTTTAACTTTGAATCATTGTTTTCCCTTTTTTTTATCAGTTATAGTGAAAGCTAGTAGTGGCCCGAGATATGTTGTCGGTTGCCGAAGTAAGGTGGACAAAGAGAATTTGATAGCTGGAACGCGTGTTGTTCTTGACATGACTACCCTTACCATCATGCGCATTCTTCCACGTGAGGTACTCAAGTGCAATAATGAGCTCTAGGATTTTCAATAGTAAACAAATGAACACCTGGAGATTGTTGTCAACTTAGACTTCCGTTTTTGTTTATTCTCAAAACAAAAGTATCCATTTGTTGTTACTTTTCTTCCCAGGTTGATCCAGTTGTGTATAACATGCTTCATGAAGATCCTGGCAATGTCAGCTATTCTGCTGTAGGTGGATTGTCTGATCAGATTAGGGAACTAAGGGAATCCATTGAGCTCCCTCTCATGAATCCAGAGCTTTTTCTCAGAGTTGGGATTAAACCTCCAAAGGTAATTGTTAGGCTTGTTGATGGCACTTTTTGGAATTTTGGCCTCTAAATGTGATATACTTGTTTCTGGATGTATGAAATGAACTTACATAAATATGCTATTTAAACAACTTGTTAAATTGGTGAAGAATCATACTACACATTTCACATAGTCTATGTTAGCTTTAAAGCATCTAAAAACATTTCAGGGTGTTCTTCTTTATGGACCTCCTGGAACTGGGAAAACTTTGTTGGCTAGGGCAATTGCCAGTAATATCGATGCCAACTTTTTGAAGGTACAGCTTCATTCTTTATAAAGATTAAAAATAAATGGTATCTTGGGGATTTATAGATTTACAAACAATTCTTTTTGCAGGTTGTATCAAGTGCTATTATTGACAAATATATTGGTGAAAGTGCTCGTTTGATCAGGGAAATGTTTAATTATGCTCGTGACCACCAAGTATTGTTCTTTTGTCTTTTGGTTTTTGGCCTTTTCAATTAAAACAATAGATTTTGTGCATCCTATGATGAATTTTGTACTTCCTCTCCTGTATCTTCTTTTTTACTTTTATGTTGCATGTGATAAATTCTACTATGATATATTAAGTTTTATGTTATAATGGCACTTATGCTATTTTACTTATGCTATTTTTCCTCTCATATTATGAAGCCATGCATCATTTTCATGGATGAGATTGATGCCATAGGTGGGCGTCGTTTTAGTGAGGGAACCAGCGCAGATCGTGAAATACAACGGACATTAATGGAACTTCTGAATCAGCTGGATGGATTTGATCAGCTTGGAAAGGTACCTTCCTCTACAACTTCTTCAAAATGTTCTGTACCCAACTGTTGTTATTTATAAGGACAGCAAGGAGATTATGACACAATTAAAAGTACCTCAGGTTGAATGTTATTTTGCATTCCTTGGAGATTGACACGTTTAGTTCGGAATGTATTATTAGTATTTTTTTTGTTTGTATCATTACCAAGTGTATTTCTAAGATCAGCAATAGCATTATAAGTTGTATTCATCTTTGAGTTATATTTTGGTTATAGATGTTGGGAGATCCATTAACCATTAATTGTGCTTGGGGAGTTCTAGACATATCTTTAAACAGAATTTTGTGTGACTCTGAGATTTTCATGAAAAGAAACTCTTCTCCCATATTATATGGTGCATTGTAAGTCACCAAGGCTGTCTTGTTGGTAATTTCATGATTGTAATCTATTTATTATAGTTTTGGTGACAATTTTTTCTTTGTAAATTTTGGGAGATCATTTCTCCCTGAATTTATTTTCATCAGCCTGTAAATGATCGAACAGTTCTACTGAACAAGCCAATAGATACTGGGGATGCATATGCATAAGTTTGATGCAAAAGGCTCTGCTATTTGTGTTATCCCAAACAGGTTTTTTTCTATCAGCAGTCAAGTGTCCATTGAATGCGCTTGCGTATCCATAGGTTATTATTGTTGTTAAATACCACTGTTTCATTACCAATTATATGCTCACTTCCTTTCATAAATTTAGAACCGTACAACTGGATCTATTATTCAGTCACGTCATCTCATTCACTATACATAATATTTACCATTAGGTCTTGTGTTTTTTCCTCAATGTCTACTAGGTTAAAATGATCATGGCGACAAATCGTCCTGACGTTCTGGATCCAGCACTTCTTCGTCCTGGCCGGTTAGACAGGAAGATAGAGATACCATTACCAAATGAACAAGCAAGGATGGAGGTTCTGAAAATTCATGCTGCTGGTATAGCCAAACACGGTGAGATAGACTATGAAGCAGTTGTAAAACTTGCAGAAGTGAGTATCTATTTTATCTTTTGAGAAGCTTCATGGATTATGGTCCTCATATCATTTGCTTTATGATTTGGACATCGCTTTCTGATTTCAGGGTTTCAATGGTGCTGATCTGCGGAATGTCTGCACTGAAGCTGGAATGGCGGCTATTCGTGCAGAACGTGACTATGTCATTCACGAGGACTTCATGAAGGTAAAGATTCTTTTTCTTATTCTTACTTGGTAGGCCGGGTAGGGATACTAATACTTGCTTCACGGTATCTATCTTTTGTGTCAACTTTGTTTCAGGTGAATCTTTTACAACTCAATGTAGGAACTAGTTCTTTTTTGTATAGTTTTATTAGATACATGAATTGGAAGAGAGATTAAAAAAAACATTCTAGCCTTTGTATTTTGGAGTCGCATTGTGCAACAAACAACATAATTTGTTTTTGTTTGCTTTTGTACACAAATTGACCATACGTTGAAGTTCATCGATGCACCAAGAAGTGTAGAACAATTAGCACATAAGGATCACTATCCTACAATTACACAGGAATCTGGAGTGTTTCACTGAATAGCCATTTTTGCTGCATCATTGCTAAATTTTTAATTTCCGTGGGTAAGACCAGATATTATTTCTGCAGAATATTTATTTGCACAAGTTATTTCTTGTTCGGTACAAAGTACAAACTCTTCTCATATCATGCAATGCGTCGCTTGCGCTTGCTATTGTTTATGTGCTTTTTGTTTAATGTAGTACGACCATTCAGCTAAACTGAATGGCTTTTACAGTTAGTTGTCTAACCTTTTCACTCTTTCTGTGTTTCAGGCTGTTAGAAAACTGAATGAAGCAAAGAAACTGGAGTCAAGTGCCCATTACAGTGCCGACTTTGGAAAAGATTAGAAGGGGCAGTGCCGACTTTGCAAATCCACGTTTCCTACTGTTTGGAATCAAATCGATTGGTGCCAAATCATGCAGTTGAACAGAGACGTCAGGCATGGTTTCTACTGACCATCCTTGTATTTTGGATCGTCCAGGGTATCTGTCTCTTTCTCCCAGCGTACGCTTTGTGTGCAATATTAACTCAAACTTGCTACCGTGCCTCGATCAATTGATTAGATTTTGATGTGAACCAGTTTGCTGATGTCTTAGTATTAGTTAAGCTTGAGAACCCTCCTCGGCTTGGAACCTTGTTCAAACTAGCAGATTGGAGATCCTACCTGGTGAGTCAAATAATGCTGTCAGCTTTAGGCATCGTTCCAACCCAATTAGGAGAAAGATTGCCTACTTTCTACCTAGTCCTTGGCTAGGATGATAGCATGTGTTTAAGGTACCATTGCAGGAAGGTTGGTTTTAGAATGTCTTGGGAACCAAATGCGTCATCAGAAGTTTCGGTGCATAACAAGAGCTTACTCGACATCATCCATCATACTCGAAAAGGGCTCACAATGGGAAATTAAGTAAGGCTTGATTTCAGCTAGAAATCTTTCACATGAGCGAACTTAATAGTTAGTCCCCAAATGTATAAATGGAACCGAACAATTAATTAATTCATCGGACATTTGGGTCACACTAAAATCTTATCAATTTTGGCTCTTAACAGCCAATGTTTCATGGAGACATTCTCCACTTGTTTGATGACTCTTCAGCCTACAACAATTTAATTGCCACAAAGTAATCTTGATTTCTTCCCTTGATACCAAAGGGAACAACATAATTTAATTAGCCTAACTAGAAGTAAGATATTGCACTTATATACCATTTAACTTCTTCTCCATCATCGCCACCCCATCCTTCCTCGCCACCCCATCCTTCCTCGCCACGATCACTGATGATGCCAATCCGAGGAACATCCCGTGCTCCACCACCCCGGTGATCCTTAGAATCTCGTCACTGATCAGATTGAGATCACCATGGATCCCATCCTCGAAGAACAAATCCACGATGTAATTCTTGTTGTCCGTCACAAATGCCTCCTGTTCGAACACGTTCTCATCGAAGCTGTTGGCTTTGGCGTCGGTGGCGGCGGTTCTGAGCTTGAGATTGAAGCCGGGCATGCCCTCGAAGAGGCTCCGGAGACGACGGAGGGTGAGGGCCCAGCCAAAAGGAATAACCTCCACAGGGACGGCGAGGCCGCTCGCCCCGAGGCGGGGCACCAGCTTGGACTCATCGACGATGACGACAAAGCGGCGGCTGGCGCCTTCCACCATCTTCTCACGGAGCAGGGACCCGCCGCGGCCCTTCACGAGGTTGAGGGCCGGGTCTACCTCGTCGGCCCCGTCGATGGAGAGGTCCACCACGGGGTGGGCGTTGAGGTCGGAGAGGGGGATGCCGGCGGCCGCGGCGCGGGCGGCTGCCCACTCGGAGGTCGGGATGCCGACGATGTCCCGGAGGGCACCGCAGCGTAGAAGGTCGCCGATGCGGTCGAGGGCGTGGGCGGCAGTGGAGCCCGTGCCAAGGCCGAGGACCATGCCTGACTGCACGAACTCCACGGCCCGGTGGGCGGCGACGCGCTTCAACTCGTCCTGGGACCGGGCGGCGCAGCTAGGCGGGGACGCCGCTGGTTGGGACCGGTCGTGGTGGAGGAGATGTGGAAAGGGGATCGCCATATCAATAGTCCGAGAGCAAGCGGCCCGCATCGTGTCACAGCGAAAAGCCGATCTTTATACCAAAAATTCTCTCCTTTGTCGCCGGTCAAACTCTAGGATTGGGGTTCGGAGAAGAAGAAGAGGGGGAGCCGAGCGACGTTTCCGAGTCGGAGCGCTCTATATAAAGAGATGGCTGATGGATTCTCTATCAACTCTCCGATTGGAAACGTCAAATTTTCCACGCTCTATTAGCCACGTCTTCAATATGGACTCGTTTATAAATGGGAATCTACGTGTCGCATGTTTTACGCTGACATCTAATCTGCTGACGCTGCATCGTTACCATCGAGTGGGAACGAGACCACCGTCGCACGCGAGGAGGCACGGAACACAGACGACCGATGGGACCAGCAGGCAACGGTGAGGATTTATCGTCAGAGGTAAATGGACGGAGAGGATGGTGATAGGGCGGGACGACAGAGGGATGGTCAAAGACGCACTCCGGTGGCGGTCAATGGACGTCCGCCGCGGGTCACGCAAAAGATACGAACGTGAAAGATGGTTCGCAAAAACACTTCTTCCACCCATTTCCTTACTACGCAGTCATTGAACTTCCCAGTAATTGGCGAAGACAAAAGGATTACGCTGCAGGCACCTATAAAAAGCCAGGTAGAATTTTGGGTGGCGGAGTAGGAAAAGCAGTTAAGAATTGGGAATATTGGTCATTGGTAAGAGAAGACCACGAGTCTTCTCGCCACAATAAGCATCAATAAATGAGATTTACCGCACATGCCGGGGTCATTTAACACAAAATTGGATAGTCTAAGTTTACAAGTCAAAATTGTTGACTACTTTTTAAGTTCATGGAGGAAACCCGTCGCGAAGGTACTAAGTTCGTCCAATGTGTTAAGCCAAAACAAGGGAAACGAAGGAAAGAAAGAAATCCTGTTGATCCACAGAGAATGCACATGCGGTTGATGTCATCCATCAACTTCTGAGAAGGAAAAGGTAAAAGGCCGAAACAAGCGGAAACTTGCAGGTTGGTCTCCCATTGCATGCTCTACACGAGGGAGGGAGCAGATGAGTGCACGCGTTACATGTGTGAGAGAGAATGTCACGTTGTTCTTCTGATGGTGGAGAGGTCAGCCGGTGGTGGCTGCTTACGATCTGGAATGGATAAACCATCCCCAGCAATCCTAACAAAGCCTGGTGATCGATTGGTTCTGATGAATTCCTACAGCACTAGAGATTGCGTTTCCCTGTATGAATGGATAAACCATCCCCAGCATTCCTAACCAAGCCTGGAAACACCATCAAAGCTAGCTTCTGTGGAGAATCCAGAAGTTGATCATGGCGAGAGGTTGCGTTTCCCTTTTGTCTATCAAACTGACACAAAGATTTCAGTCTTGTAAGAGATCAGAAGCCACAGCCACCATCATCTATTCCAAAACTTGAAAGAAGGTAAGTGGAAGGTTACCGAGGAGGTCTCAGAAACTTCATTCTCAGCTCTGAGACAAGCATCAGGCTGAACAATTTAGACATCTTTGCAGACTCGATCGAAATACAGGTAGGTTTCTCAGACTTGGATGCTGATCTTTCACCATATGTTTCACGTGAGTTGAAGAATTTGTGTGTCACACTTGGATGTATCCAAAAGACAACTATTTTGTATATATATATATATATATATATATATATATATATATATTGATGAGATAAAATTCAATGATAGACAAAGCATGAACCTTAAGATATTTTTGAGATTGTAAGATGAGAAATAGTATACCAAGTCGAGGACGAAGTGTAGTTTTTGTTTTGACAAGGTTGCATTTATCGAGCATATTAGTTCCTCCTAGTATCAAGAGTCTATTAGGTCGGTTGGATACAGGAAGATTTTCAAACATATCAATTCTTTTTTTATATAAGATTTATATTAAAAAAATATATAATTTATTTGGGATGATAAGTTTTAATGAAATATCGAAGAAATGAAAAAGAAACTAATTAATATTGATACTTGAGTAAGTTCTTAATCGACACATTGATGCCACAGTCGATACCTGATAGTTATTTAGTTGATATCTTAACATCATTTAATCGACACATGAATCTTAACATCATTTAATCGATACATGAATGCTACATGATTGATACCTCGATTTTACATGATCGAGACATCGATGCCACTTGGTTGAAATCTCGATATTACTTGATCGACACGTTGGCATCCTCTAGCTTAGTTGGCTAAATCGTTATCATGTTTTAGAGCTCAACAAGATACGATCATAATTAGAGCCAAGAGAAACGCACAACTGCTCCATATAAGAAGTGTTAATCATGAAATTGATGCTCTTAAGAGACCACCAAAAAATTGCCTCGTAGGTACGTTGCTTGTAAACTAAAACATACTTCTAATAATCTTTATCAAATTATTTGAATCCTAAACTAACTTAAATATCAGAGGAGTATTTATCTGGAACAACCCCTATATATTGCAAGGTTCAATTATCTTGAATTCGAACGTGTTGATGGCACACTAAGTTCAAACTAAGAAAGATGCAGAAGAAAACCTTAGTTGGCTTATAAGGATCTGATCGGACAACAAAAAATTGTCTTAACGAGTGTGTCTAGGTGAAGAATTTGTAGTATATAATATTGCTTCAATTCAAGATTATAGTTTAAAGCATAATAAGTGAGTAGTCGATTATTATACTCATGGTTTAGAGTTTGATATAATTTTAACGTTGAAAATTTGGAGAACTATTTACATGGTTATACTCTTGAAATACTAATAGATCACAAAAACCTCGAGCATATCTTACATAAAAAAATAAATAAATACAAGGCAATAAGGATAGTTAAGTTTTTCTAAAAGATTATAATTACAATATCAATTATCATCCTAGTCACGTTAACGTGGTCACTAATTCAGTTGCTTACTTGTTCAAAGACACATTTGTTTCTTCTTCGATGGTGCAATCTCTTTTGCTGCTAAGAATGAAATAAAAGTCAAAAGTAAGATGCATTCTTCATTCAACCCATAGCTTAAGGTTTGAGACCAAAACTTTACTTTGACAACCGGAGGATGGTTCAATCATATTCCACCATTGATTATATGTTTCAAAACCTCATTTGCTAAAGCAACAATATTTTCGAAACACATACATTAGGAAGTACTAAAATGTATCATGATGTTGAGACATGAATAATTAACTGAGTGCATCTCTAAATATTTAGTTTAATAGCAAATTTATTTGGAAGTTTATTCGGATGAAAACTTTCAAACCATAGTTAATTCGAAGATATGCATATGTTATAATATCGCAGGAGAATGTTAATAATGCAGACTTACAACAAACATATGTGAAATGAAAGAGAATTCGAAATTGGGGATTCTCTCTTCTTGAAAGGATCTCTAACAAGAGGGGATATTATCAGTTCCAAGCAATAAGGTAAATTAACTCCCATGCATGTAGATTCTTTTGAATTATGATCAATTGCTTATAGGGTGGGTTTGCCTCCAAACCTTACAAATACAAATAATGTGTTTCATATGTCAATGCTCTAAGATTATAGAAAGAAAATTATTTTTTCAAATAAATTAAATAATACCTCCTATTGACAAAGAAGTATCAGTATCTTAAATCAATTTTGTGGACCAAATCTTTAGAGGGAAAGGAGGGAGAAATATATATATGCATATCTTTTCTTATGGTAAATAGAATTTATGGATCAAATCCTTAAATAACGAAAATGATTAGAAGTGACTACATCTCTTTCTTTTAGGTAACTAATAAAATTTGTGGACCAAATCTTTAAAGGGGGAGAAATGTGATCACCTTAAATTTTATTTTCTAACTAGCTGACATGTTTTAAAATGGTTCAACTTGTTATGTTCAATTCAATAATTATGAAGCTTGATGAAAATAATGTACCTGATAAATCCATGGTGTTGATAGATATGGTTAGAATGAAGTTAATTAACAAGGAGACAATAGCATCCATGGTGTAAATCTACTTTGCCTACCTTTGGAATCAATTTGATAAGTCCCAAATAATGGTGTTAAACACAAATGTTATTGACTATCCAAATAATTGTGCTAAGGATGTATTTGTGTTTTAATACAGAGTTGGCTTCTATAATTTTTTGTCTTAAAAGATTTAGAGGCACTATTTACATAGTTAGACTTTTGAAATACTTATAGATCATAGAAACATTGGGTAAATCTTTATACAAAAAGAATTAAATACAAGACAATGAAAATAATTGGATTTTGTAAAAGAATATGATTTCAATATTAATTATCACCTTCTTAAGAAAGCCAGCATAGTCTTTATGCTAAGCAAGAGATACAAATGTCCTTATGTACTTTGTGTATATAAAGAGTCTATTTAAGTATTTAGAGAGCTTCAAATGTTGATAGAAACTGTTGAGTAAGACACATCATGGACTTCTTGCTTAGTTAAGGGTGCAATCTTTTCTATGCAAAGAAATAAAGAAAGTCATACATTCAAACCATCAACTTAAGGTTCAAGATTAAAATTTCGACAACCAAAGGATGATTCAATTGGACTCAACCATCGATTATATGTTCTATACACTCATCCTATATTTTTATAAACAACAATTAGAGTAAGACTATAGAATAAGACCTATTATACTTTATAAAAAGTACTAAAATATATTATGATTTATTGGTAATAAGACATGAAGCCATCTCAAAATATTAGTTTGCCAAAAGAACTTATGAGAGGAAACATAGGTAATATTAAAGAATGAGAATTTCTCATATCCCACTTAATTTACCGACAAGTTAATATTGTCTCAAGGACCATAGGGTATTGTCAACAATATAGAATCAACTATTAAAAGGTCATATAAGTAAAAAAGATAAAAATCTATAATTTGAAGTTAGGGTTCATATCATCGTGAAGGTATCACCTACAAGATGTGTCATGAGATTCTAGCAAAAACAAAATTTAGCTTGTAGACATGTATTGTATAGGTGCTTTTAAAATGTTACAAAAGATTTAATCTTTATGTTTAATGTGTCAATACTCCAAAAGTAGATGTTCCGTGTCCTCTAATATCAACTTCTCTAGTTGCGAGATGATGCTACCTATTTGGAGCAATCGATTCAAATCTAAGAAAGAAAATAGTATTTAATACCTTTAGTGAAAGTCCATCATATGAAAGATGATTTTAAAAAGAAGTATCGTTATCTCTTTCTTTAAGGTATTAAAAACTAAATCGTTAAGGGGAAATCTTTCTTTAGGTAAATCAAATTTGAGGAGCAAATCTTTAAGGGAAAAAAAGGTACTCAGATCTCTTTCCTTAATTTAGAGACCAAATCTTTAAAGAGGAAGAAATATAATCATCTTAATTTTGTTTCTTAACTAAGATGCTATTATATACTGTCTAATATTATTACCCTTCCAAGGGATTTTATTTCATCCATTAAAACATTTTTTTAAAATTGAACACACATATAAAAAATAACTTCATTATTTTTTTAACAAAGATAAAATGAATATAAAATTTTATTTTCATATCTCATTAAAAATTTCTCATCTCCTATATAAGCCCGTGAGGACTCCTCCCTTTTCATTTATATTGGTATGAGAAGTGATCGCTTGCGAGCGATGAAGGATCGGTAGTGGTCATCATTCTAGGAAAATAATAGGTTTTTTCTTTTCTTATTTTAATTTTTAAAATATTTAATTGATGTTTTAATTATTTAGTATTCTATCAATTGTTGATTTTGATCAATTATATATTTTCAATGTAACCAAATGGTATGATGCATATTTTAGATTCAATTAATTGCTTTGAATTTTGTATCATGACATAAAGATTAGCAAAACTAATTAATAATTTTAATAATGTCAACATCTTAATGTATTATTTTAGATTATCAACTAATATTGATTTAATTATTTGAATCATGATAATAACATTAGTAATCCCCATTTGATAATGTCATGATGTTCAAGCCAACTCTTGCTCGAGTCCAATCTAAAATAGATTCGACTCGGTTGAATCAATTGACTAGAGCGGATCAACTCCAACTTGGGTCGGGTTTAACTCGACTAATACCACTCAATGCTATGATTCAATCTACGTAGATCTATATAATCCAACTTATATAACTCATATGGTTGGGTGCGATCTCATCGACTACCCTTCAGGATTACACTTGGGTTAGCCCGTTCGATCAAGGAAAATTGAGAATCCAGCTTAATGTTTTGTAATTATTAAGGTAAAATTATTAAGATATAATCCAATGAGGTATTTAGTTCTATCAGCTTGATGAACCTAAAATGGAAGGCAGGATCATGTTGTCAAGAGAAAGACCTTGGATAAAGAAAGGAAAAGGATACATATTCTTAAACTAACCGCACAAAAAAATTTGCTCTCCCATACCAAAAGAACGAGAAAGTGGGAGTGGAAAGATTGAGAGCTCCCTTCACTCCAAACATCAAGGATCAGCTGGGTTGATGCAGCTCCTGAGTTCTGCAAACTGCAGGCCTATCCCAAAACAGTCTCCATCTTTATCATCAGTTGCAGCAGGAAAACATGGAATAGGACAGTAGAATCCGTCAGCCAGCTAGTTACGTAAAATCTCTATTAGTTCTACGTATGAGATGGAATATTAGTTCAGATAGGTGTATCATTATTAACTTCAGTTTAAATATTTTAGCTATAAAGTTAACTTATCCCAAAGACTATACAAAGCAAAAGGTCACGACGACATAAATCACTATCAAAATATGTTTCATATGTATCTATTCCATTTGTTTTACCACCATCATCGATGTCTCCATCTTTCTTTTCTTTTTTTCTCTTACTCATGTACCTCCGCTTAATAATTCAGTTTCATATCAATTTATATTTATTATAATTATCCTATAAATTTATATATCTTATTAATTTTATGAATAAGAAACACATATAGCTTCTTCTAAACCATTATGACATTGACTATGTGCAACCAAAATGGTATTAAGATTTATAAATGATTTTTTTTATTTTTATTTTAAGATAAGTAACACAAGTAAGATGTGAGTTTAAAATCTTATCTGTCAAAATCTTTACCAACTAAATTAGTCAAACGATTCCACTGTCCTATTCCCTGTTCTCCTCCTGCTGCAAGTGATAACAAAGATGGTGACTGTTTTGGGATAGGGTTGTGGTTGGCACAACTCAGGAGCTGCATCAACCCAGCTGATCCTTGTTTGGTATGAAGGGAGTTCTAAATCGTTGTACACCCACTTTCGTTTGATTCCTCGGTATGGATGGAAGAACAATGCAAATTTTTTTTGTGAGGAAATATTTTGGATAGTTACTTTTAGAATCAAAACATCATCTTTTTCTCTTTTTTTTAATTCAAGGTGTTTCTCTTGATTAATGACAAAAATATGCTCCTCACATCTTAATTATCATGGAGATCCAAGAAGATGACAATAAGACATGAGAGTGGCCCCATCACCCCCTCCCTCGACAGCAGCATCAATTGATTCTTCCTTTTTCTCCCGATTGGTTTGTTTGTATGCAAATAACATATAATAAAATGTCAAAATGTCGACATAAAATAAATAAATAAATAAAAACCTTAAAACACTGAGTCTCTCAATTTATTGTTGCTAAAGAACTTGAGTCAAAATCTTGTCTCCTTTATTTTGTTGACCAATTTTGACAATTGGGATCTCTTCCTCTTCCCTTTCACATTTAGGTTTGGATATGTGTCTGCTTCTCATTGGCTCGAGAAGCATTGTCCGCTGTGCCAAATTAGCAGCACCTGACTTTTACAACCTAACTACTAATATTAATATGATGAAAACTATGTAGCACTTGATCCGGCACATGTCATGCACGTGTGCGAAGGTCGTCGCCATCTTCGAAGGAGTGGTGGTTCCTTTGATGTCTCCTCCCCTCGTTAGTTTGGACTTGCATGTCGCCCAGCTTCCTAAAACCAGACTTGTACGCCCTACAAATGGTTGCAGAACAGCATGGCCGAACATTGACCTCACCTTCCCTCCCCTGTGATTCATTTGTTTCATGTGATATATGTGCATGCAGAGATCAAGTTTACATCAAGGGAGCAAATTGTCAAAGCCCCCTAATCCTCTCTTCTCAGGGAAACACAAAAAAGAGAATGAAAATGAAAATAAAACAGAGTTATCTTCGTTCTCCACCGTCGCCGCCTGCTTTGGTTTATGCTACGACGCCAGGCCGAGATCGGTCGTGCACGCGTCCGGGTCGTGGACGCGCCGCGCCTCGTCTCGATGCGACCGGGAGAACGGTCCCGACCCGAGGGTGAGCTCCAGACCCACCTCGTCGTCCTCCTCGGCCTCGGCCCGGTCAGGCTCGCCTTGGCTCACGTGGGACGACGCCTCCGCGATGTCCGCCGAGGACATGCTCTCCTCCACCTGGCACTCTTCGTCCCCTCCTCCGCCCACGCCGGCATCGGCCGCCGGCTCGGTCGAGTCGCTGCCCGTGGACTCGTGGAATTCCAGAGGATGGATGGCGGCCGGACGGGCGGCCTTGGCGCCGGAGCGCTTGAACCGGGAGCCAGCCTTGTTGACCTTGTGCAGCTCGGCGGCCGCACGAGCGCAGCCGCCGGCTCCGGGGTCCTTGGAGATGTGCCGGATGTCGGAGGCCTTGAGCGGCGGGGTCGGGGTGGATGCCGCCGTCTCGGACGGGATCTGGACGATGGGGGCGCCCTTGAGCACCGCCTCCACCGCAGCCTGGGTGAGCTGCCAACTTCCCGACAACAGCAGGCCCACGGAGCCGTAGATCGGATTGACGATCCGGCCGCAAGCCTCGTACAGAAGAGACCGGAATATCGCTGCAAGAATCCAAGGATGTTTCAGCTTATCATCATCCGCAACGAGCAGAATTCTGTACCAGCACTAAAAGTAGAAGACGCGGTAGTTGTACCGACCAGGGCGGAGGTGGTCGGGGCCGGCGTTGATGAGGTTCATGAGGCCGGCGCGGCCGTAGAACTTGGCGAGGAAGACGGTGGCGTTGGCCTGGGACTCGGGGCTCTTGATCCACCGCAGGCAGGGCCTGATGCTGCAGTCGTCGCTGCACCCCTTTCGCAGCACCCGACAACCGTTGCAGCTCATCCTCATGGCGTCGATCCTACCTCTCTATCAATACAAGAAGCGAAGGCGGGTGAGACGTGGGCGAAGAGAGGAGGAGCAAGGGGGGGCCTATATAAGTGGTTGGAACTCCATGGGAACACCAGCCGTGGGTTTCAAGTATGGCCACTGGTTTCGCCAGAGACTCGGAAAGCGGGTTTGCTTTGCCGACGTATCATCATCATCAACATCATACCATCGAAATGGTCCATTTTACCATCTCTCTCTCTCTCTCTCTCGGTAGATTTGATTGCAGGAATCTTTTGCGAGAGAAAAAAAGGTGAAGAAAAAGGGAGACCAGCGCGTGGCTTGCACGTTCGGAGGACACATAATTGCGGCTGTGTCGTCGTAGCCGAGTAAAAGAGGCCGATGGGAATGCTATTCGTGAAAACAGTGAGGAAGGGGAGAGGAAGGAACAGGAAAAGGAAACCTGGTGATGGTGGCAATGATAGTACTCCCGGTTTTGTGGAAGCAGTACAAGGACGGCTTGACCGGTTTCCTGGTTTTGGATCGTCTTCTGTGGGCGGCGACGCCGGGTTGTGTTGGGTTGGGTTCTTGTCACCGTGCTTGTCTGTCGTCCCCCACACACCAATGGAGTCAACGTGGCATCTCTTGACACACTTGTGCCGCAGGAGCATGGAATTGAGCCCGACTTCTGCTGCCGAGATACAATTGTTTCTCGTGTCATTTACCTGCCTCCGATTGGTGGTGAAGGGCGCCCCGTACATGGGCCCGCGAGGAGATGGAGACACCTAAGGTCGGAGGGTAACGGGAAGCGGGTACCAAAATAAATATTGCTCTTGAAAGATTGCTGCTTTTTGAGCTGGAATATATATATATATATTTTTTATTTTTCCTAGCTTTAAAATGTTAGGGCATTATTATTATCCAGCAAAAAAATATAAAGACATATTATAACACGAGTGAACTTAGATATATGAATCAGGAAATTTTAATCGTGTAAGATTAATCTTTATCTCATCCTATGATTCTTATCTTTATTTCACGTGTAAATATTTTTCTTCGTTCTGAGTAAAAAAAAGGAAAAAAAAGGAAAATAAGAGTAAAAAAGATAAAAGAAAAAATAAGAAGTGACTAATTTAGCAAACTAAGGGTTAGATTATTAATTACGACAACACTAAAGTCGTGCATTTGATGTGACTAAACAATGATGTTAGCCGTGTCGACTAAGCTAATGGTACCAAAAAAAAAAAATCAACAGTGTGAACAAAATTAGATGAATAAGAATAAAATTGATCAAAATGAGGAGAAAAAAGAATCCATCATGAACTTGGATGGTGGTTGATGCTGATTGAAACAGTAAATTTAGCTGTGTTGTGTCAACTCCATGAATTTGTTCCAAGGGATTGAGATGGATGGAAGCAGACTCAGGAAATCTTAGCTGAGTGATGGGATTTGGTTTAAGGGAGTTGGCAATCTTGTCCTTTTCATCCTCCTTATTCGTGCATCCCTTATCAGGAATCGCAACTGTGCCAGCAAATCACTACTTGATAATATCCTGGTGATGTTGATTATTATCATCATTATTTTGTGATTATAGGTGAAAATTTAGGTAATATGTTTTAAGTAATTTTTTCACAGGTGGCCTCGACTTCGATTCGGTTCGATGGGATCATAAAATACATTACCTACAGAAAGTGTCAGATGAGAGTATACTAACAGTCTTGGATTTGTCATGCAGGGATGTAAAGATGGCTTGATAAGGTTGCTAATGTAATCAAAGAGCCAGAAAATTAGAGATATATTAGCAGTAAATAGTTTCTTAGACACTGTTTGATTGTGACAAAACATCAAAAGATGCCGAAGATACAACAAAAGTATTAAGTATTTGAATCTGCACTCTCTGCATCAGCAAAGAATAATACTTAAGGGCAACTAATTCTTATCTGAATGAGAATCTAGCCATGATATGATATCATTAATGACACTTGAGATCCTTCCATCTGGCTCTCCCTCTAGAATACAGTGAAAGCCTTCTTCATACAGCTTGAGGGTTTTGTCATTTGTATTAGCCATATTGTAGAGGATTTTGCTCACATTTGGATCCGTGACTTTGTCTGCAGCTCCGTGAAGAATCAACAATGGAGAACGAACCTGAAAGATTTTACGAGTGATCAGAATTCTGAATTTTGCTTCAAGTACGCAGGCCATGGTTCTTCTGATTGTTCCTGTTAGCATGGACAACATAGCATGCAGTAACTTTGAAAAGTACAAATGATTTATCATTGTCTAAAAGGTGAACAAAGCAATAAAGCAGCTTGAAGAAGAGTATATTTATTGGTTTGAAGAATGAATGTGGATGAGGGAAAGGAGGGATTTTGATGGTCAACATAAATGTCCTTCACAGAAGAAATACAAGGTCAGATTAGACATGGATTTCCATGCTGGCTAATCATAGAATGCCAACAGGGTATCAACACAAGTCGCCTCATCATGCCATTGCAGCGGTGCACCAAAATAGAAGGAGGGTCAAGCTAGGTTTGTGCTGGCCAGCACACCACCCAGCGCCATGCCATAGCAAGTATTACCAGACCACTAGGGGATTTGCCATGATACTTTGATCTTGGATTAGTTTTATAAACAAGGAAAGGATGCTCTCTTACATGCTACCTCTAGCGCATCAATGCACACATTCTTTTGCATCTATTTTTCACTTTTTGATGCCGCAATTATAGTAATTTTGCACACCCAGTTAAGATAAATGTTTTTGCTACGGTTGCAAAGTAACTAAGAATGCACATAAGAAGCTGACCTTCTTCAGTTGTGACTCAATATCTTGCGTAGCCTTTATTAGCTCAACAGCTGTTCTTAACCGCATTTGGTCAGAATACGAAATCACATTTAACTCGGCCTACAAGTAACAACTGTGACTTAATATTAAAATCTTTGATAAAATACATACAGTACAAATTCAAGCAGTAATCCACACAACTTTAAGAAAGCGGATCTATAAACAAGGAAAAACAGATATAAACAGCTGTACTAGGAGTATATGGTGACAAAAGTTTGTATACAAAATATAGTAAAAGGACAACAGATAACTACACGTTATCACAGAGGACAACCCCTGAATCGAAAAATGAAGAGGCTCTCTATGGTAGCTCATCAAATTTTGGGGAAGAACACGTTATTAAGCAACTGATAAAAATCAGCATCTAGCATGGTTTTATTCCTAATATGGCTAACCCTCATGGTCATAGAGGACGATCCCCTTGAGTATAAAAAGGGAACGAGAAGGAGAGAGCTTTTAGATTAAGAAACATATGCAGTAAAAGTAGATTATAAAATCCCATCCATTTGGACAGGCGAGATAAATGCTTTAGAGGGTTAACCTCCTGCAATTTCCCAATGAACATAGCCAGGAGTTCAGCTAGAAGTTATTCTTTCAGGGATAAGGAAAAAAACATTTGAATAAGAAATTTCATGGATCTGTCATAGGTAGCTGGAACTTCTTTTTATAGGTAAATAAAACTGGATAGATTAATGATCCAGCCTAAAGCTGCAGTCTGAAAGTTACTTGCTACTTCACACAACAGAGAACTTGTTGAAGTTTCAGACAAGTAGTTACTTGCTCCACTTATTATTGACCACAAATATATTAATTTATGGTTGAATGCATCACACGCAAAAAAAGAGAGCTCCTAAGTTTGCTGTTGTGTCACACAGGTTAATTTCCTGACTCACAAAATCGATGTCCTCGGTAAGCATTTGAACAAATTTGTAGAGTTAATTTGTACAATATTGTGAAAATACTAGTCTGACTAATAAATTAATTCTAATGCAAAATGTAAATTATTACTACCTTGACTGGAATCTAGGATGATTCCACATAGGTCTCTGGTGATGCAAACAAGATTTATCCATAATATCTGAATATGCACTTGGAATAATGTTTTTTCACAATAAGTTGGCATAGCAGAGATTAGAATAGATTTATGCCCTTTAAATTCCTCAATGCTATCAAATAAGTGAAAGAATATAAAATCATTTCTACTATGATCTTTTTCAAGAAGAGACTGCAGGAGAACCTCACCAGGCTTGATTCAAGAAACGATGAAAAGAATAGAAGAGGTAAAAATGAAGAAACACAGGACAAAACAGATAAAACAAGGAAAAAAGAAGACAAATTTTATGACTTTCAATTATATTAAAATAGTTTTCATACTGTAAGACAGTGGGAGAAAACAAACCACTTTTCTTTTCGTTGGATCTCTGAATGACAAGACTCCTAGATCTTTCTGCGGAAATAACTTTGCCTCAGGTAAAACATATGACATGAGAGTTAGTGCCTTCAAAACAGGTCCTGGTGGTGTCACCTCTTCTGCAATCTTACAACCTCAGAAAAATTAATATTGTATTGTAATTAAGGTATTGCCATCACACTAGCATAAAGCTAAGCATGGATAACATCAGTCTTAGATTGGACAATTTCCATGCTTTAGTCATTTCTGGTTCTTGTCATTCTCCAACAGAACTTTAATAAAGACAAAATTCCACAATGATTGACAATCAATGCCACCCAAAATTCATCACTAAGTCTCATAGAAGAAAATTCATTTTTGTGTTGTGTTGTAACTGTAGCTCCATATATCTCTGCCTGCATTTATGCAAAACATAATCTTGTCCTCTATAATAATCTTAGTAAGGTACTATCTAAACAGTTGCCAGCAGCTAATCTATTAGGATATGTTAGGGCATAACAAACTGACAAACAGTATAATAGACAATTTTGCTCCTCAAATATAAATTGCCACAGTGAAGAGCACCACAATGAAACAAATTATGGTACTGATTTGTTATGTTGTACAGAAATCTCTAAAGATGATATGCCAATTCATGTTAGAATTATTCCAAAGGGTCCAAAAACAATTATGTCACCTATTTATACAGCATGCAACATATACATCATAGAACCAGCACAGAATCATTTTACAAAAGCCTATGACAACTTCTAATCATAAATATGATTGTCTTGTTCGAGTTGTTCTCTACAATTTCCAGCTTCCAATGAAATTATAAAACTTGCTCTCTCATCGCTGCTTATAATTTTATCTTTTCCAGGTACTCAGGTATTAGCTTAACAGCAATGAAATTTCACAAACTACAGTAATAGCATCCTCTTTCTTTTTTGTATATAAATCTATAATAAAATATGAATCATGAAGAATTGTGGGTCAGAATTGCAGAAATCTAATAAACTAAAGTCACCAAGGGGGGAATATCTAATATTTATTGTCAATAACCAAATGACTAAACGAAATTCACATATTTAAGTGGCAAACATTTATGTGCAAGACATCTTACTTTGCACATTGGTGCCACAAGAAGCACTCCATCCCACTCCTCTGGCTGCTTCAAGTGGATTTTAAGTGCAACAGCTCCACCCATCGATTGCCCCAAGAGGAAGTGACGTAGTTCTCTAACTCCCTCCATAGCTGCACATGACCAAAAAACTTGCACCAAGATCAGCCTATCCATCTACAATGCTGAATGGAATATACCAAAAGAAGTATATGATATTGACCTCTGATGGCTGCATATTGCTCGATAACATGGTCTACCATTCCATCAAAACTCGGGATATAGCCATGCAAACCCTGGGAGAGCCCAAAACCGGGGTAGTCCATGGCAAAGACTGCATAGCCTGCATCTGCAATTATCTTTGCAATCCCTGAAACTTCCCTTTTGTGTTAGATTCAAGTCAGAGGTATGCCTGAAAATCAATATACAACTTTGATAAAAGTTTGCCGCCAACCCTCAAAGAAGAAGGTGCAGGTACTGCCGTATCCATGGCAAAAGAAAAGAGCAGCCTTGGTGGTGGTACCAGGCTTCGGCAGCCAGCTCTTCCAGAATACCTCTACTCCTTTAGAATTCATCTCGTATCTCTGCCACATGGCGCAGCACATTTGGAAGCATTAAACTCTGCATTGCATATTTGTCCAGAAGTTCTAAGTTCACGATACATTATTCCAAAACTGGTGGAATTTCATATAAAGATTTGAATATGATTTCGTGTGAAGTGTTTAAAAACAATGAAGCAACTTCTTTAATGGTTTCAAACTAATAGTCAGAAAAAGGGGATCTAGTATCACTGCATATTGTGCTGATATCATTTGTGCCAATAAAAGGGCACAAAGAACCCATTTCTGTTCCCTTTTATGTCACCAAAAAAAAAAAGGATATTCAAACTTGATCACCATACTATCTAGTTTCACAGTGTCTCAGTCTATGCCATCAACATCGATTTTGTAGATGCATTGCTCAAATTCATGAAATGAAATATATTTCTAAGTCCAAACATTTCAGGTGTAATTAACGGTTCAGATCTGAGTACATCGTATAGTCGTCGCTCTATGCTTCTCTAATCGTCGCAAGAACGAAAGATGAAAACTTGATCCAACTAATTTCAGGTCATTGCAGGATATACAGTAAAGATCTCAATGAAGTAAACAAAACATTGGAAGGGTACGCCGAACTAAATGATTCCAATGATGTAATGCGAGCATAAAAATTGCTAGGATAATAGAGTCAACGACACTCACCTCCTCCATTTGGATTCCTGTCGGAGCTATCTGAAGGGGAAAAAGACCCAATAGAATAAAAGATTCAGAACCTAATAAGACGGAAAAGGACAAGAGAAGTCCGATCCCACATCCACCAGCCCCAGCGGAGCAACGGCGCATCGAGATCGTGCGGACACCGAACGATGCGGACAACCCACGCATCGCAAGGGGGAAGGGGAATGGGCGCAGACCTTGAACAAGAAGTGGTCGAGGCGGCGGTGGACGTCGGCGAAGGCATAGCGAACACGGCGGCGAGCGGGGGCAAAGTCCATATTCTCGGCCGCCACGGCGTTGAGCTCGTCACCGACCCCCTCGATCGCCTTCCTCGCCACTGCGACGACCGCTGCCCTCCGCAGCGGCCGTCCAGTCGGCGTTCCCCAGACTCGATCCAGCGGCTGCAGCTGGATCGGGCGGTGACGGGTGATCGCGGCCGTGTAGATCGCCATGGAAGGGCTCTCTAAGTCCCAAGTTCTACTACTCGCATCTCCCAGCCACCACAGTCGCATTTTAAACGTGTGACGATGTTAGCCACGTGCGAAAAATGTAAATACACGAGCCGGTAATGAGGGTCGGTATGTGACACCATAAAACAAACCAAATAAAGACACTATACCCGTATTAATCCAAACTTAATTACATTTTAATGACGTAATTATGTGAACCGCAGTTGCATGAGCTCAGTTGTGCCCTTGCTGTATGATTTAAACTAATGCCTGTTGGGCCTCTTAAACTAGTATTAATGGCAATAAAATAAAGAGAGTCAGTATAATTCTCTAATTAAATTCCTAAAGATCCTTAAGAGTCAGCTGCTCAAATTAGGCGCAAGTTAAAATTCTATCTTATATTAATATCTTTTAGAGGTGTGATAAGAATATATATATATATATGTGTGATGATGATGAATTCTTGAAAAAACTTATAAGTTTGTGAATTTTCTGCATGCCGTTTCAATTTTAAAAAAAATTTAAATGGTACCCTTAGATGAGTTAAATGATTATTTTATCTCTCCCTTTCGTTAGAACCACTATCGTCTCCTCTTGCTTATGCTACCTTCGTCACTGTCCTTATACACTAGTTAGATCCCAAGGGTGTCGCATGTGATGAGGGGAATGGTTGACAGAGCTAGCCCATGCACGGAGTAACAAGTGGCTAGCGATCAGAGCCTGTGCACAAAGAAGGGTGACTAGCAAGATTAACCCACGTACAAAAACATAAGTAATTATGGGAGATGATCGACAAAGTAAAAGAGAACAATTAATATGTAAAGGGTGGACAGTGGATGGGACAACAGACGGAGCGAGCCCATGTGTGGAGGGGAGCGGGGCCTGTGCACAAAGGGGGCTGATCAATAAGACCAGCTCGCATTTGAACACATAAACAATTAGAAGAAGATGATTAACGAAATGAAAAAGGATGATTGACAATCGAAGGGCAGTGACGACCGACAAGGGTAGGATGACCATTTAAAAAATGATAAATAAGCGTTAACTAAATTTTATTTTAAGTTAGAATGCTTAGAAAATTTTTAAACTTAGGGACTTTATGCGACAATTCACCTA